CTTACTTCTTATAGGGTTGTTGATTATTGGAAGCTCAGAGGATGCCGAAGTATTCTCATAAGTTGAAGCAAGATCATTGTCAGAGGCATATAGTGCCTCCAAATACTTTTCAAGATACAATATAAAATCTGCACATTTGTTGGGGTCCATTGCAACCTTACTTGCAATTTCTCTTGATAGTCGATAGATACGCATAAACCGGATTTAAGAGTCACCTTCACCAAATAATTCATGTGATGTTAAAGTTCCTGTATCTTGTAGTTGTGTACGGCTATAAAAATTGACATAGTCTTTAGCAAGCTCCAACTCGGGCGGGTCCTTTTGCCAGCGTTTTGGAAAGTGAACAGGATCGAGTTGAGCAAGAGACAGACAAACCACAACTGCAAGGGAATGGCGACAAACTATTTCAGCAAATTCGAGATTGCGGCAGCAACAAGCAAGTACCTTGCTATCATAGCAGACATGACGTATAATGTCAGGCCTTTTGTAATGTGATAGTTTAAAACAACACACTCCATTGTCATCTGTTATTTCCTCACACGCATATGCATCCTTTTCACTCCATTCTGCCTCAAATTTCTTCCAGGCATATCGGGTCAGACAACTAGCGGCCTGGCTTTCAATTGGATTTGGGAAATCTGAAGGGATGAGATAAACAAGCTCTTTGTAAGCAGAAATATGTTCTGCCTCTTCGCGAAAATAAAGTGCATGTTCAAAAGCTGCCAAAAATTCTGTGAGCCTTGTTTTATAGTCTACGAAGCCCTTTAAAAGACTATTCATTGATTCTCCTCTTTGTGTTGACGACATGTCAGCGAAAAAATATTTCTTCAAATATGCTGGGGCCCACTATTCACACCACCGACTAAGAACTTCCAGGTACGACTTTGCCTCAGCATAGTTATCATTTTCCATTATACAATTCCACAGGTCCTCAAACTTGTTTTGATCAATATAATGGTTTAAGCATTTCATAAGATCCGCATGAAACATATTATATTTTTTTCAAAGTTTAGAGGTTATATTCGACTTTATATTCTTTAACATGTGCCAGATACAAAGGCCATGCTTAGTACCGTGTTTATTGGTAAGGACAGAGCGAATAGCATCAAACATAGCCAGATTATTGTCTGTAAGAATAGTGTTAGGTGCAGTGCCAAAAATACGTATAAAGGATTCAAATAACCATTCAAAACTTAAAGACGTTTCATTCCGAAGCAACGTGCTAGCAGCACAGTAAGAGAGACCATTGTTTGTGACGCCTGTAAACACCCCAAAGGGCATTGAGAAATAATTGCTCTTATATGTGTTATCGTAAACAATTGTGTTATGAAAGCGCATGTATTGCCGCTTTTGTGATGCATATACCCAAAGTATATGCTTAAGTCGATTATTATTGTCCAATTCGAATTTATAAGAAAATTTGGGGTCATTGTTACGCTTTTGTTAAAAAAGAAGAAGGAAATCATGGGCTTGGAATTCACCATGTAACATGCGTTTAGTATCAATCAAATTATACACATCTTTCATTACCCACGTCTTTGTGGCTGGTCCGTATTTTACTGTAAGAAGTGATTGGATTTGCGGTACTGCAATTCTTGCTTTTCTCAAGGTAAAAAATTTCTTCCTTAATAAAGGTAGGTATTTCGCGATTTGTAGGTGATATGTGTATAAGTTGGGGAGGAATAAGGTTGTGATTATGGTGGAGATTGACTTGTGAAATATAATATTTATCATCTTCCGGGTTATAATTGAGACGAATTGACCAAGGGCAGTTGCATTTTTTTGATTCTTTGTTTCTACTTTTCTTATTTGGATCTTTAGGTTTGGGCTTGTGCACTCGCAGGAAAAAACTTGAATACTACGCAAGCCATCACTACGATTGTTGCCCTTTAAGGAAATCACTTTAAACCCGCTTGTTTCCGCATACTGATTGGCAACATATTTAAAGGTCTCAAGAGAGGCATAATCCTGGCCATGCTAAAAAAGTGAGTTACTTAATTCTAATGAAGATTCAGGCTCTAATGGGGATTCAGGCTCTAATGGGAACTCAGACTCTAATAGGGATTCAGGCTTTAATGGGAATTCAGGTTCTAAAAGAGATTTGGGCTCTAATAAAGATTCGGGTTCTAATGGGGATTCAGGAAATTCAAGTTCTAATGGGGATTCAGGCTTTAATGGGGATTCAGGTAATGGGAATTCAAGTTCTAATGTGGTTTCTAGTTCAAACGAGGTCTCTGGGTCTAATATAAATTCAGGTTCTGGTTCTTAAAATATTAAAGACTGATATTAGCCGTACATAAAACATTGTATAGTATTAAATGATTAAAACCTTACCATGAATAAGCCGCATTTGTGACACTACTTCTAGTTCCATACTGGCCAATGTTAAACACAATTTTTTTAAGTCCAAAGGACTTTGGATTGAATTTTTTTATTGCTTAAATTGGGTTGTCTCAATTTAAAAGATTTGGTTTCTTCATTTGTATGAAGGTTGGTTTAAAATTTTCATACAATCACACACTTTACCGAACTTATGGTTCTTGTAAAGTATATAGGTTCAAAAGTTCGTTAGATTTTTTTTTTTTTTTTTTTTTTAACCTGCACGTTATAGCAAAAATTTAACATTCAGTTTGTTGAGCTTATGTGTTTGTCTATCTAGGTTCGGTTTAAAGAAAGACGAATGTCTTTCTTCTGATTTCTTTCACCAGCAGGTTGTATTGTTTGAAAGCATTAATGCAAAGAAAATTCTAAAATTCTTGTTTTGTTTTTGTATGTAACACATGCATGCATATGACGCCAAGTATGTATGTATGTATATACGTGCATACGCACAACGTAGAGGCGATTGATTTTTTAGGCCGGAGGTATTGCCCAATGTTGGGTTATTGATTGAAGATTTGTCACATGATTTTCTGTTAATTTGATTGGTTAATAGGCCAGAGATATATAACTTATATATCTCTGGCCAGAGATGCCTAGAAAAACCCTATCTATAATTATAGAGTTTTTTTTTTTATAAAATCTGGATATTCGTAAAGGAATCAATTTTAAATTAAATATATATTTTAACACTCTTACATTGTTATTGCGAAATTAGTGTGTATTTAGAAAAGTTATATACATAGGCATATTTAGAGAAAATTAATTATAATACTCAAATTTAAGTAATTTAAATAATTTAAATAATTTAAGTAATTTAAATAATTTAAGTAATTTAAGTAATTTAAATAATTTTAAATAATTTTAGGAATTATCATTATTTAAACGATGTTTAAATAAAGTGGGGCTTTTTTTTTCACTCAACTAATATTAAATTTGAACTATAAGAAATCAAAGATATCCTTATCGCAAAACTACATTTGCTATGAGAAAGCAAGTAGTTGATATAGTTAATAACAGATATTTATCTATAACTCAAGTTTTTCAATGCCTTCATCTTGCACCTTCCATGGTTAAAAGCATTGTGGATCACTTTGATAAAGAGGATCGAATTGTTTTTAAACCATGTGGTGGTGACAGAAGATCCAAACTAAATTCCGAGCATAGAATTTTTTTAAAAACACAAATGGAAATAAATCCAAGTATCACGATTAATGAATTGCATCAAAATCTTCTTGAACGATTTTCTGATTTACAAGTATATCTTTAAACTGTTATAAAAAATCAAAGTTGCTTATGCGAATATAATCAATATAACAGGTTTACTAACTTGAATGATTTTTTATAGATGAGTAGATCAACTGTAGGCCAAAATATAAAAAACAAAGTAGAGTTTACACTAAAAAAGTTAGTACTTGTTAGGGTTCCTATCAAATCAAATCAAATCAAACTCTTGCCAAGTTTGAGGTTGGGTTTGATTTCAAATCAAACTCAAACTCAAACTTTTTTTAAAATTGAGTTTGATTTGAGTTTGAGCTTAAACTTTTTAGTTAAGTTTGGTTTGATTTGAATTTGATTTCAAACTATTTGAGTTTGAATTATATATATATAAATTTATATATTGAATTAAATTATATAGAGTAAAATTTTAAAAA